AAATTTTTTGTTTGAACCGCGGAGGTTGACACCGAGCTAGGGGGTTGCTAGGCCAATGCCAGGGTCTACAAGGCCGCAGACAGGCAGGGCCTGCAGGACCACAAGCAGGCAGGCAGGGCCTGCAAGGCCACAGGCAGACGGGCTGGGCCTGCGAGGCCACAGGCAGGCGGGGCCGCAAAGCCCCAGCATGGGGGGATAGCGACTGGGCCAGCTCTTCATAGAGAAGAACTGCTCCTATCAATACCGTGATAGGAGCCAGCCAAGTCGGTTACAGCATTAGACTTTCACCCGGCAGGTACTGGGATGGAATCTGAGAACCCGCATACACCACTGGGCTGGCTCCTTTTGGAGCTGGTCGTTGCTATAGGAGGCCAGCGCGATCAGATCTGGCCGTCCGATCGTAGAAATGGCACGGCCCAGATCTGGCGCGCGCGGATCTGCATGGCCCCTATGCAAGGATGACACGCATAAATCGAGAGATGGTCCAAAAAAAAATAAAAAAATAAATAAATAAATTCTTTTCGCACCAGGCAGGGCTCGAACTCGGGCCTGCGTTTTGGTGGACGTGGCTGAAAAGCCACGTGATTTCGAATGTTGGCATAAACCAACAGATCTAAGAAAAAAAAAAAAAAAAAAAAAAAAAAGGAGAGAAAAAGAAAAACGAAAAACGAAAACTTACAGCGCCACATGTCGCATCAAGACGTGACAGGGGCTTCAGCCTCTGTGTACCAAACAATCGCCCATGGAAACGGGCGACGGTTTTTCTGCATGAGGTAAGTTGTTCTGTTTTTTTTTTCTTTGTTTTGTTTTCTCTCTCTTTTCTTCCTTTTTCTTAGATTTTACTTTCGATCCCCTTTTCGATTTTTTTTTTTTTTTTTTTTTTCCATTTAGATTTTGTTTTTGTCCTTTTCTATTTTTATTTTCTTCTTTTAGTACAACATCCGTTCGTTTTTACGAACGGATCGTAACTGTGCGGGGGGCAGGGGAAAAAAACCTTGTTGAGCTTGACTCTAGTTCGACTCTGTGAAATGACTAGGAGGGGGCGGCAGTTCGTTTCGAACGGCGAGTTGCCCCTGCACAGAGAAACGAAGGGGGGTTAAAAGCAAGGGAAAAAAAAAAAAAAAAAAAAAAAAGGAAAAGGGGAGAAAAAAAATATGACGGCCGCGAACGTAGGACAGGTGCAGCCCCTAGAAGCTTCTAGGGGTTGATGGGTCTGCATCTGTTCGAGTTGAGCATGCAGTCCTGAAATGGCTTGTTACTGCCATTTTGGACTGCACCCGGCTGTGGGTGGCGGCCAGGCGCATAACCAAAGCCAGGAACTTGATGTTCCTAGTAGAACATCAAGATTCCCAGCCCTCGATCAAAGTTCAGATTGAGGGTTAGGCTCAGCCCCGTTTTTTTTGGCTGAGCCTCAAGTGGCTGCCTACCACTCCAGCCCAGCTATAGAAGCAGGGCTGGCCAGCAGCATCCTCACTCAGTTGAGGTGCTGCCCACATTCTGACTGGATGTGGAGTAGTGAGCAGCACTATGCTGCTGGAGTGCTGAGAAGCAGCGAGGGAGAGGAGGAGTGGAGTGGAGGTCTGCAGTGAACGCGGGAGTGGAGGCTGCCATAGCCAACACTTCATTTGGTGAAGTGTAGGGAAGGTGCTGCCTGCACGGTACGGCGGTGGCAGCTATTTTGGTAGCGGTGCAGGGGAAGCCCTGCCCGTTTTGCTCGGCGGCGGCAGGTCTTCGGCAAGCGGTGCAGGGGAGGCTCTGCCCGTTTTACACGGCGGTGGCAATGTATTTTTGCCAGTGCTGCGGAAATGCTGCCGATTGTTTTTGGCGGCAGCTGTGCGTTCTGGGTAGTGGCGCGGAAGCGCTGCCGAAATTTTGCGGCGGCTGCACAGGTGCTGGCGGCAGTGGCGCAGAAGCACTGCCAGATTTTTGCGGTGGTGGCATTAATTTTAACGGCAGTGGTGCGGACGTGCTGTCGTTTTTGGTACAGCGGCAGCGATGTTGTCAAGGAGAAGTGTCGTGTGATCAGTGCGGCGGCGTCTGCGGTTTGGAAGGTTGTTGGGGAAGTGTTGCCGCTTGGTTTGGCACGACGGCAGCGACATTGTCAAGGGGAGGTACGATCCATTTGGGGGCCTGACAACGGCGACAGTGTTGCCGGAATTTTGCAGCGGGGTGGAGCCGGTTTTCTGTGTTGATGTGTGGTTAGGCGGTGATGCCGCACGGCGACATAGTACCGTTGACTGCGCAACAAGCAGTGGTCCGCATATTTTTTTGTGGTGTGCGACTGTGAAGGTAAAATTCAGTGTGGCCTAGAGGTTGGGCTAATGTTGATGCACGATTGGGATAGTGCGGTAGTGGTGCGTGGGCCGGTGACATGAGGAGGACGCGGAGTGAGTGCTCACGACGGTGACTATTGGAGTTGCGGCGCTTGCGGTTTGCCCCAGAAGGACATCCTTACTTTTGGGAGGCTCGCGGCACATGCAATTTCAACCAGGGCCACTTTAATTCTTTGGCGGCGCGCAGCGCAAGCGGGAGTTGAGAGTGTCCTTGGGGGATGTGATGCCGTTGGGACTACTGGGACCGTCTGGGACCACTTTAGGACTAGGTGGGACTGGTTTTTCGGATCCAAACCGACATATTGAGGTGGCTGTCGTTAAGTGGGACGACCACGAGTTGTGGAGTTCTGAGCTGCATATTTCCAACTTCAACGGCGATCGTCTTCTCAACTTTGACTGGAATACTACTCGGCTTTCTTGAGTGAGCCAGATCAAACTTCACTCAAGGTCAGTCGAATGACTCAGATTTCTCTTCACACCTGTGTGAAACCACACTTTGCTTGACCTTGTTGTTTTGAATGTTCGAATGAAAAGGCAGAGGAAAGTTGTGTGAATCATGCATGTAAATGGAAAAGTCTGACTTGAGTATGGGATTGTACTGTTTTTTTTTTAACTTGTTTTCTTTGCATGTTGTGCAGGTAGGTAGAAGAATGCTTGCTATGGAGATTGACTTTGCCTATTTGGGGTGGAGAAAAGGATTGTCATGCTTCTGTCTTTCGCCTGCCTGCATGACAAAAGTACTTGAATTATGAAATGAGTAATTTCAGCGGGTGCCATGAAAGAAAACTTCTGAATAAAATGAAAATGCAGTCAATTGGACTTAGGATTTTCCCAGGATTGACACATTTTATATGGAATGACCTTCTATACTTATACCTGTCAAAGTGATTCTCATTCTCTATCTCATTCAATTTCTTTACGTCTAAGTTACCATGAACCGAGAAGGGATGAGAATATGAAAACTACTTGCGGTGAACAAATTCTCTTTTCTCTAGGAAGCATCCAAGGCGGGGGTTCGTATGCTTTCGGAGCCGGTCCTGTTATCGACTTGGAGTGGACCCGACTCGTCGGGGGTGGTACTTTGCCGACTCGATGGTGACGGCCCAACCTCTAAGATCCGGGTCTACGGGCTCGGGCGAGGGGAAGGAGTATCCACAGACCACTTCCTAGAGGAGAGGCATGCAACACTTCAAGCAATGCCCCTGATTAAGAATCAACCGCAAAGTAGCCTGTCATCCGAAAATATTGGAAACGGATGCAGACAGGTATGTGCGTTGAGTCTCAGGTTGGCAGTAGGCTGGAATGGATGACTTTGGCAAACCGTCTCATCAAGTCAAACTAAGGCAGTCGACTACCCTGGTGGCTGCATTTATATTATCATCGATAGCCAATTTATTGTTGACGGTTGCATGATTGGTTTATGGTGTTTGACCTGAGATGGTCAAAGGTTGACTTTTTTATGATGTAAGTATATGCAGATGTTTTATTTTATTTCTTTTGACTGTGTGTTAAAGGGACTAGGATAATATTGTGGGTTTCGCGTTTGGTTGAGATCGTCTTAGTCGACCGAGTTCACTCGTACATAGGAGATCAGCGCCATAGGGGACGGACAACGTTCGGGTCCACTTGGCGTTAACCAAGCGTATCTATACTCCAGCGAGCGAGCAAACGCCCTCGGCTGACCTACCTCTGTAATTGCATGTAAAAGCTTTCGCACGTGGGTCAGTAGCTTGGTAGGGATACGCCCCTAAGGGTGGTGACAGCCCCTTAGGGAAGGTAAGATGTGCCCCATGAAAACCTATCCTGTCGTAGGGGACCATGGGATGTACAGCTGGCGCACCCGACTTGAGCGCCGAAGGGACAATGCAACCGCACCCGTCTCGGCGGTTCGCGGGATTATATATGCATCGTCCTAAGTTGTCTCTTGATTTTGTCTTGTTTTAACTCCTGCGTGACATAGTCGGGAGGGCCCTCGCTCACGCGGGGGCCGATGCGCTCGACAACGGATCCCATTTCTGTCTTGGAGGTTAGAAGGTGCCCATCTCATCTTTTGCGTGCTGTTCTCTTTCTTCCATTTCTCACAGTAATGTACTATCCATTCCATTTCTCACAGTAATGTATTTGTCCATGCATACATCCGACTTAGCGTCTAGCACTCGAGTTGGGGCTCGCGACCCCAAGCAGCACTAGCTCACCCGACCGTTCAACCATAACAAGAGACAGGGGCACCCCGTTTTTTCTTCACTCGTTCCGATGACTCAGATCTTGACCATTCTTAGACTAATTCATGACTCGGTTGGATTAGGCTCCTAGGGAAGAAGTATTCTTCATGCCCCTTAACCCATAGGTTCCCTAACCTCTCTCAAACAATCATTCGATGCCATGGTTCGCTCGTCAATCCGTACTCAAGGTTTTCCCCTCTCAATAGCATAATCCTTATTCCATCCAGAATTCACAATACACCCTCTCCCAATTGGTCTCATCCCAAATCCCATGTCTTTGTCTTATGTACCCAAGGTAGCTCATCCAAAAAGTAGCCTAAAAAACTATCTTCTATCTTATCGTGACACAGCCTTAGCTGGCCCTCTTTTCACTTCATCCTTAGCAAGCTTGCCCAAACTGTACACGTTCTCGTCATTCTCATGTCTCCGCAGACAGAAAAGCAGCGATCCTTTTCAATGCTAAGTCAACACCTAGTTCCAATTGCTGTCTTGCGCCTCGTCTTGCCCAGTTCCTTGTCCACCCTGTTCCTCGGCAGGCTTCCTAACCCCCAGGCCGTAGGTCTCGATTTTTCTCTTCTTTCTTGCAATTCCCTGTAGTTTAATTTCACTGAAGAAGTCCAGCGGCGTAACTTCCACTCCTGCCTTTGCCAGTTCCCGGGTCTTCATAATCCATTCGTGCCTGATCACATTGGTCCATTGCTGAAACAAATGACTGGGTGTTGGCCCAAACTCGTCCTCCCATCTGAAAGCCCCGTCACCCGGCTGGTGCATCGGAGGCCGCCCTTCTTCACTGGGCCTTGAGATCTCATCCCTCTCATCCCCGCTGCTGATTTCTATGACCTCTTGTACATCCTCCTCCTCGTCCTCCTCGTCTTCTGTCTGTATGGGGCTGTACCCACCCGCTAGGTTCTTCGGATCGTAGGTAAAAGGAATCTCTGTCCCTGTCTCGTACCCCTCACAACTGTCGTGGCCGCTTCGTCCTTCAAGCGGGCTTTCCCTTTTTTCATCCTCGTCCTCTTGCTCGTTGCGCATGTCTTGTCCCCCCTCGCTTTCCGCATGCCAAGTCTCACGTCGTTTGCCCCTGTTGGCTCCTTTCTCGATAGAGACATGAACCTTATCTCCCATATCTGCATTGCGTCCTTCTTCCACTTCTGCCTTTTCCTTCCCTCCCTCACTGTCAGACGAGATTTCTATACCTTTTCCCTTGCGGAGGGGTGAGGGTTTCCTACACAAGCATTTCCTTCCACCTCTGCCTACCACCGGTCCACCCATGAGCCCTATGTACAGCTTTCTCTTCGCAGTTCTCCTCTCTTGGCTTGGTCCCGCTTCTTCCCCTCCGGCAGGCCTGTTGATCGCCTCGCTGTCGTTCTCGTTGCCGAATTCCATTTTTCTTTCTTTTAGACCCTGTATAACAAAACAACACCCGCAAAACCCCTCATGCACCCATTCCCCCAGTCTAGTAGCCATTTTCCCCTTTCCCCAGAATGCTCCCAACATCCCCCGCACCATGCCCCTATTATACATGTGAATGCGCCGTTTGTGATGATCCCAATATTCCCCTGTCAACACTATGATACATTGCTCCTGCCACTCCTTGCGGCCACCCAAAAAAAACATTACCCCAAACTCCCAAGTCATCATGCTTCTCAACCTCAGTCAGTCCAACCCATTGCCCCAGAGAAAAAATCGACAGTCCCATGAACGCAGTCACATATCGAACCATAGTGAGAGCATGACCGTTTGTCAATCCCTAACCTGTTGTTCCTCAGTTTCCTTATCCTCGGCCTTCTGGAGCCATTGTTCCACCGGGTACCGACTCAGAAACCTGATCAACCATTGCCCTGGGAAGGGTCCTTTCAGTCCAGTTCCATCCAGGTCTTCTAGTGCGAAGGTGTTCAGTCCCACCCGCTTGACGACCCGGTAGGGGCCTTTGAACCTCTTCCCCAACTGCCCAGACCATGTACTCTCTAGTGCCAAGTTTCTTAGCAATACCATTTCCCCCACCTGAAGTGGCTCCTTTCTGACGTTCTTAACCTGGTCCCACCTTGCTTTGTCTCTCATTCTGCTGTCTAGCACCCGGTTGGCGATGTCTTCCATGACTTCTTCGTTCTTAAGGACCTCTTGACACCTTGCCTCGATTAACTCTTCCGTAGTCATTCGCGGATCATCATCTAACCTGTTCCAGGTAGGTATCAAGGCTTCAACGGGAAAATCGATCTCTCTTTCGTACCATAGTTCCGCTGGGATACATCCCGTTGTCCTTTTAGGTGTCATGTTCTCTGAGAAAACCGCCTGCTTGAGGTACCTGGGCCAGCTTCCCAGATGGTCCGCCGCAAGCTTTGCGATCGTGTTCTTTAGGGTTCGGTGCCCTCTTTCCACCGGTGCATTAGCCTCTGGGTGATATGGCTCGATGAGTTTGATCGGCACGCAAAGTCTCTTAAGCATTCCCAATACTTCTTGATTCACAAATTTTGTCCCATTGTCCGCTATAAACCTCCTGGCAAAAGGATGCCTCAAATAGAAGTCTTCTATCCAGTCGGCCACACTTCTCCCGGTCTTTTTCTTGAGGGCGACCGCCTCCACGAACCCACTCAAGTTGTCTCGCGCATCTAGAATATACCTGTACCCATCGGTTGACACAGGCATGACCGCAAGGTCCACGTCGACCAGATGTCCCGGTCCTAGCACCCGTGTTGGTCTAAGTGGCTCAAAGACACGCGTCGAGCTTCTTTCCTGGCAAATGAGGCATGTCTGGCAGTACGTGGCGACCATGCCTATCATGCCTGGCCAATAATAGAGTGGTGCTATCTTCGCAAGAGTCCCTTTTGATGATCGATGTCCCCCCGCCAAGCCGTCGTGCATTGCCTGGATAACATCCAACTGCCTAGATCTACCGCACACGACTCTTCTAGGCATAGTCCCTTCTTCCCTTCGGAACAGGTGGCCCCCCCTTAGGACGTACCTCCCGGCTTCCTCGCTTGCTTTAATGCCGACTTCCAAGGGTTGTTTGTTTCCTACTAGCAACAATCCGATCTCCCGAAAGAGCCCTTCGTATGATTGGACATAGAAAAACTCCTTTCCTTCCCGATCCACCTCCTTTTTCTCCTGCATCTGGTTTACCAACCATTGCAACTCTTTCCTTTCCCACGATTCCACTACGCTCATTACGGCTTCCCGACCCCCTTCAACCGTCATTGCTATGAGTTCTTCCTTTGGTCCTACTATTGTTCCCCACGAATCCCTTTCCTCTTTACGACCTCGAGTGGTGACGGGTCCTTCTCTAAGTTCTGCTACTACTGCTTCCTTTGGTCCTACTATTGTTCCCCAGATGCGCACCCCTCGCCCATCATTTCGTTGTCCACCACAAGAGTCCCTCCTTCGAATTCAAGGCATGCGTCTATGGGCTCCGCATCCTCCACCCCTTCGGGAGTGATGCAAACCCGACTCAGCCCATCTGCCTTGTTGCGGATTCCAACAATCCACTCGATCTTGTAATCGAACTGCTAGATGAATCCTACCCATCTCCCCACTGTTGGATCTATAGGCCTGTAATTCTTTAGAGCCCCTGCGACATTCGTCGGATCAATCCTTAAGATGAACCGCCTCCCAAATAGGTAGGCCTGGAAGGTCTTAAGGCAATGTAGGATGGCCATGACTTCCTTCTTGAATTGCGAGTACCGCCGTTCTGCGGAGTTCAAGGTTCTACTTACGAACCTAATTGGCCTCTCTTTTCCTCCCTCGTCCCTTTGAATCAGTACGTCTCCTACGGCCAAGGGCCCTCCATCTGTTTCCAGGATGAATGGTCGTCCTACCTCATCATTAACGCAGGGCGCCGGCAAAGCGACCTGCTCTAACGTCAGAATGTCCTTGAGAGTCTGGACGGCTCCCTCTCGCTCCTCCGTCCATTCCATGGTCCCTTCCTCTCTGATCATAGCCCGGATAGGCTCCGCAATCTTGGCAAAATTCTTAATAAAGATCCTCCAGAAACCGACCACGCCTAGGAATGCTCTCACCTCCGTTGTAGTGGGCAGGGGGGTTGGCCACTGCGATATCTTGTCCGTTTTCGCCGGATCTGGCTTCCTACCGTAAGCACCGCAGCGAAATCCTAGTATGGTTACTTCTTGTACTACTAGAATACTCTTTGGTCCACTAGCCGTGATGTTGTATACTAGGAACCGGCGGAGCAAGTCCTTGATGTCTTGTAGATGGTCCAATACAAACTTTCGGATTCCTGGTTGGACTTCTGTCTCGTCCTTCTCCTGCGCGCCTTTGATCGGATTGTCGTCGATATAGGGTTCACACTTTTCTGGGAACATGTCCCCGGCTACGGCTAGCATTCTTCGTTGCGCTTCGGCTACCGCGTTTGTAAAGCCCATAGGGGTCACCTGCATTTGCAACTGGCCTACCGGGGTGTGCATTGCGGTGTACGGCCTGTCCCGGACATCCAATGGAAGCTGGTCATATCCCGAGTACAGATCTATTAGGAAGTAAATGCTTCGTCCGACGTGCGATTCCGCCAATAGATCGGCCTGGGGTAGCGAGCCAGCATCCCAGATGGTCACTGCATTCAGCTTCTGCAGATCCTGAATCCACCTTAACGTCTTATTGGGCTTTCGAAAGACGAACCACCGGTTTGCATATGGCGACGCCGTAGGTTCCGCGACGAAGGAGTCCATCTTTGCTCGATGGAGGTCTGTCACTTCCCCCCCTATTCCGAATTCATATGACGGTCCCTTGTCATTCCAACATTCATGCTCTACCGTGTGGATTTTGACCGGAGGGATCAATTTTGCGTCCAACCGCCCCTTCTGATGGTCACTAAAAGCAAATGCCAAATGAAACTTCTGCCAGGTCTTCTTGATTAAGGCAGTTTTCTTCTTCTGTTAAGAACCCGTATATTCCTATCTTCATCGTGTCGGCTACCTCATCCGGTATTCGATGCCCTTCCGTTGCCCTCCTTTCCCGGATCACCTGCAAAACTTCCTCCTCCTTTTCCATGGCCTCTTCCTTTGATGTCTCAAGCAGGATCGACACCGGCTTTGCTTTCTTCCCTACCGGCTTGTACTTCCGAACATTTCCTTCCAGGATCTTTCTCCTAAAAAATGAACAGTCGGGATTGCCCTCGTTGCTTCTACGACTCGTGGCTGAATACTAACTAGTTTTCCATTCAGGCAATATCCCTTTTGTACCTCTCCTTCAAATTTCGCCAAGGTCGTCGGGTCCACTCCTACCTTGTGGTATCTCAGAGCCTTGATGAGCTGCAACAAATCGGGGATCTCGAGCGCGATTTCCGGCACGTCCTTGCGCACTTCGCTTTGTTTGGGCAGGCTGGCCCCAAGCTCAACTTTTGTCTCCTTTTCTGCCACCATGACACCTCAGATCTCGTGCTCCTGCCGCCTCTTCTTCTGGGGCAGGCCCATCTTGATCCACTCCTTTTTGTTGAATACCTCCTCAATCATTATTTCTACCCTCTCTCTCATACCTTCCATCCGTGCGAAAGCCCCTTTTCGTGCGCTATCTTCGAACGAAGGTGACCATGTGGCCATCTTTCCCTTTGGAGGGTCCCCTCCTGTCCCCAGAAGTCGGAGGAGCGTTCCCCGACCGGTCACTGGGTCCTCTATGTCTACCATGTACGTGTCGTCGTGCAAGTGCATGCCTATCATTTCCACGTTCGCGCACCATGGCCCCCCGAGGATTATATCGTGGTCCATTTCCTCCATTACGGTCATCCGTTGAAATGACCAGATTGACTCCCTGACTCCTGCTTTGACTGCGCATTTCGTGACATACCCAGCGAACGGGATTTCCCCACCGGCTCCCCGGATGCTCCCTGTTACTTCCTTATTTACCGTGCAACCCGTGACTGTTGCGAAATCTTTCCTTATGAGAGTGATTTCCGCTCCCCCGTCTACCAACGCGTCGGTATGATAAGTCCGAATCTGAACCTTCAGTTTTCCTACGGGTAGCGCATGAAAATTGAGCTTTGTCCTAGGAGGTGCCCTCATGACCTCGCCACCTTCCCTGTCTGGTAGGCTTAGGCGGATGTCTGCAAAAGCCTTCTCGAGGTCTTCCAGATCCCCACGACTCCTTTGGAGGTTAGCGACTTCTTGTAGAGGTTCCTCCTCCCTTTCTTCTTCTGGTAATTCGGGGTTTTCGTCTGTCTCTACCCGTCGCCGAGTCAACAGTTGCCTAAGCCCTTTAAGCAACCTAGGGTTGGCCTGCAACATCGTCTGAAACGACACCGACACCATGGTTCCTAGCAGCTTGCCAAGGGTGTCGTCGATCTCATACATGGATAAGATCGAGATTTGGTACCTAAACTTCTTCTTGGCAGCGGTAACTTTGTCTGTAGGCTCATCTTCCCTAGGTTTCCCATAGACCTTTTCCAGTTCCTCGGCCTCAGGCTCTGCCTAGGGTTCCAAACTTCCAGCAACCTCCTCCATCACGGTGTCACGGATAATCCTTCTCCCAGCCGTCCCTAGCCGAGTAGTCGTGTTTACCCTATCTCTTCCATCGTTTTCCAGAATGAAGTTGACCTGCGGCCCGCGCCCCCAGAGTTGATCCCAGATGATCTCGCCCACCGGTTCGGCTTCTACGACCGTTATTTCTAACCCGTTGAGCATAATAATGGCCCGCCGCATCCCTCCTAGCGAGTTCCAGTTCACCCGTTCCCCTTGTGGTCCAAATATCTCCCCCTTTAATGACCTGGTACACCTCCTTTTCAGTATGTCATGGTTGAGCTTTGGACATGCCCGCACAAAATGTCCTACCGCGGTATAGTATTTGCATTGTTCGTTGGCGGGATCTCTCCGTCCATATCCACAATTGGCTACCCCTGGTGGAACTACTGCTTCCTGGGGCGGGAGGGGGGGACGGGATACTTGCGCCTGCATAACTAATAGCGTGCTCTCCATCCTTTCAATCTTGTTGTCGACTCCGTGCACCCGTTCGTGTAGGCTTTCAATCCCCTTTTTCACCCTGTCGCCCGTCCTACTGGTCAAGTCTATGATCTCCCCTTCCTTGAGCAAGGCCAACGTTTCTGTTACTACCGTTTTCTCAGCTAGATCCGTTACCGTGCTAAAATCAACATCCCGCGTGTTTACGAACTTGCTCGTCTGTTGGTAAGCTTGCAGGATCTTGTCTTTGTCGAACTCGGAGAACTGCCTGAGGAAACATTTGCTCATTATCCGGTCTGTGACCCCGGGGATCCTTAGTGCTACTAGAGTAAATTCCCGTAGGAAATCATTGTACGTTGCGAAGTTCTTTCTCTGAACTGCCGCTAGGTCGGCCTCCGTTGCCATTTTCTCTGCCGCTAGGTACTTCCTCATCATCACATCCCGGGTCTCCTTCCAAGACCGGCTTGCGGCTACAATGGCCATTATGTCTCGTCCTAGGCTTAACGACACATGCTGTCCTAGATGGTCCATCTTTTCCTCCTCGGTCCACTTTAGTAACGCAGCTAAGTTCTCGTAGTCGATCAGGAACTCCGTGATGTTTGCTCCATCGAAAGTCAGATTTTTCTTGGCGTCTGCCAGATAGCCTTGGTTCTTGTTCAGTGCTCGTGCAAGGGATGATACTATCTTCCTAAGGCCGCCTTCGGAGCTACTGGCCTCGCCTACCATGCTGGTATCTGGCCCTTCCTTGCTGGCTTTCTGCCCCCCTCTAGTCTTTGCCGTTCCTTTCGGGTCGAACCATCCCAACACCCTTTCTCTGAGGCTCCAGAGCCCTTCGCATCCTCGCGATACCGCTGGTGAGGCCGGCAGACGGCTAGCCCTACAGTCTATGGCTAAGGGGTTCATCGCCTTCTCTGCCTCCATTCCTGGAGAGTTCTTTCTCTCTTTCCTTCTTTTGCTCGGCGTTCCCCCACGGTCACTACCCTTGTCCCCTTGCCCAGTTCCGCCCCGGCTGGTTTTCCGTTCATCCTGCGGTACCTCCTGCAGAGGGCCTTCCTCGTTCCCAATCATCATTTCCTCAATTAACCTTGCCTTATATTCCGCGGTCCTTTTCTCCATCTCTGCTAATTTGTGCCTCGCATCTGTGACCCTTACTTTCTTAGACAAAGCTCCTTCCGAGTTCCCGGGGCTCGCACTATCCTTATTCCTACCCTCCTTGTTTTCCTGGGTCCCCTGTCTGCTTCCCCCGGCTTTTCCTGAGCTCTCTCCCGAGGACATTTCATTCCGGTTCCCTTTGGTGCCATCCGGATTTGTTGATTCCCTGTCTTTCTGCCCTTCCTTGCTTTGCTCAGCAATGCCTCCTAAGCCTGGTCCTCCCTCGCTTTCATGATTACCTGTCTCATCCTCCGTTGCCATACTTGCCTACTTCTACATAACCAAAGGATTCCCCAGAACAAACGCAGTGCGAGGCATTTAGGTTCCCTAGGTTCCAATCCTGTTGGTTAATCCTTTTACTTGGCAATTAGGCTTTTCCCCATTCCCATTTTCTGATGGTTTCCTTAATATGGAACCGCGTCCGGCTCTGCTGCCTCACCGAGCTAAGGGCATGACTTAGCTTCCCTTATCACCGGCTCGTTTAGAGCGCCCTTATTCCGTTGGTCAGTGCGTAGGGGTGCGGGTTGGGCAACCTGCTATAAAAAGTTTTCCTGCGCGGTGTTCCCTGTCTAGCGGTTATTGATCATCCAGGTCCGAGGCCCCCCCCTTTCCTATTTCTGTCGGTGGGCCTTCGAACGTAGCGGACTGTGCTTGATTTGCCCAACTGGCTCGCCTGCGGGTGCTAGTCCCGTTCTCGCCCTCGTGGCCCTTCCGGTTCGGTAGGCTCCTCGAATAGTTGAGCCACCCCCGTGAGATAATCTCCCCTATCTCGATTTCCCTTTGGATTATGCATTCGCACCCCGTCCAGTCTAGCCGGGGCGCATAAAACATCAAGATGTGGATGACTTTTAGTAATTCGTGGGCCCTGTTTCCCCAGAACAGCCCATGTTCCACAGCGATATCATAGAACATCCCGATAGTCGGAGAGGGAAAGTGGTCCGCCCACATTATTGTCGAGTCTGCCAGCTCCCGTGCCCTCGCGAGGCTCCCGAAGACAAGGTCTATCATAAAACGGGGAACCCGGCACCTCAGCGGTGTGGTTGGTGCTCTGAATTCCCGCCATCCCCCCATTTCCACCCGGGTAAGTAAGCCCACGGTTCTTCTACCCCTTACTGATTGTCCTATCCGGGTCAACGTCCGGGCGACCCTTCGAAAGACCGGTGCTAGCTCGTGACCTTGTGCTATCTCTACGCCCAACGAGTGCCAGCCAATCTCAGGCAGATACATGGTCACGGTAACTTCCAGATTGGAAAACAGATCGTCTCCGGGTCCTCGATCGAGTCTCATCCCTGTCCACCGATATTCTACCAACATGAAGGCGGCGTCCCTTCCCAAAGTCACGGCCCGCCATTCTATGTCGAATCCCCGATAAGTAGAACTCGACGGGAGGGATACTTCCCATCGTCCACCATTATTCCAGGGCGGTCCGGGGTACCGGGGCTGGCGTTCCATCCGCACACGGGGCTGGCGTTCCATTCGCTCTCGTCTTGCTGCCATTGTTACCTTGGTGATTCCCTGCATAATCCACATAGAAAGGGTTACAGCCAATCCTAAGAAACCGTTCACCTACTGCCTCCTTGCCCTTCATGTTTTCATCCCTCTTTTCTAGTCCCAACTATCCCTCCATACCCCCGGGAGCAGTAGCCCCCTCCGGCTGTTCGTACAACCGGTAGAGATCATCTATGTAGGTCGCGCCCCGACCTACCTCTCGCCGGATGACTCTCCACATGGTCTCATCACTTATTTGTGGGACTCCCGACCTAGTATTTACCACTGCTCGTAGAATGCAAAGCACCTCGCGCCCCTGTTCGTCCCCGAAAGGCCCCATCTCTAGGAAGGCCCGATAGTATTCTCGATACATTAATGCTTCGTCAAAATCTAGCCTAGTTACGACAGTCACCGCCTGCTCCACTCGTTTTATGCCTCCCATTCGTCTTAGCAGGAAGGGTGGTAGACTCATCCATATGACCTCATTTGGCAGCTCAAAAACCCCTGCCGCGGCGACTTTTACCTCAGCCGTCACGTCATCTCGTTCTGGATCTGCAAACTCAAACCCCTCCCGCCAGGTTATTTGCCATGCCCCTTCGAACATTCGCACGGGGTCATCCCCGGAGGCCAAGGCAATCCCAAAGGTCCGCCACCCTTCTTCCAACAGGTGTAAGGATCCCGTCGCATGCACTCGCCTTGGGAGGTCCAAATTTACGCCCCCGAATTCCCCTCTCGTACGCCACTCCAGTTCTATTACTAGGTACACCGTGTCTTCCACCAATTCTACCCCCACCCAGTCCATTACCGAGTTACTCACCACGTTCCTTGATGGCAGGCTTATTTCGACCCTATCTCCCAATGCCCTTGGTGGTCGGATCCCGCGAGGCCTATCTTCCCAGAACGTCATTCGCCGGACCATCTCGCAATGCCTCCTTTCCCGCTTGCTTAGTCCGATTGCTGCACCCACCGAGATTCCACGTTTTTCGTGTTTCAGTCTTTCAGTACCCCCTTCCTATCGCACACTGGTTCCCGACACTATCCCGTCTCCATGACTGCCCTTATTTCAGCCTCCTTGCGTCCCTTGTTGACTAATGTACATCCCCCTTTCTTATGCTATATCCTAATTCACATGCACCCTCTATACTCCGTTCTTCCTGTGGCGCTCGAACTTTGAGTCCCTTTAATCAAACCATCGCACCTCAAACAGCATAAAGACATCGTCCACATAGGATGGCGCGGCCGCCTTCTCCCGGCTAACTATGGCGTCCCAAGCTTCCGCGCTCACCTCTTGGCGGTTGTATTTACCTATCCTCACGATGGTGATGACCTCACCGGCTTTATCCCCGTAGAAGGGCCCATATTTTAAGGAGAACCTATAGAACTCCTCGGTCAGCCAGGCACATTCTATGTGTACTTTCCTCATGGAGTCGGCTACGTCTGCTATGTGCCCAAAACCCCCGAACCAGTTGGCCACGAACTCGGGCACCCAAGCTGTTATGCGCAGGCAGGGAGGCCTGAGTTCTTTCCACCCTCCCATCACAACTTTGCTACTAACTAAGTAAGGATTCGGAACATCACATCAAACATGAACTTGACAATGATAGACTCGACTAGTGGAAAGCACATGCACAAAGAGAAGAGACTAACTAAGTAAAGATCCGGAACATCATATCAAACATGAACTCAACAATGAGAGACTGGACTGGTGGAAGCACATGCACAAGGGGAAGAGATCCACTAGGTAAAGATCCGGAACATCCCATCAAATATGAACTTGACAATGAGAGACTAGACTAGTGAAAGCAAGTGCACAAAGAGAAGAGATCAACAAAGTAAAGGTCCGGAACATCACATCAATCATGAACTTGACAAGGGGAGGCTTAGACTAGTGGAAGCACATGCACAAAGAGAAGAGATCAACGAAGGAAAGCACATGCACAAAGAGAAGAGACTAACTAAGTAAAGATCCGGAACATAACATGAACTCGACAATGAGAGACTAGACTAGTGGAAAGCACATGCACAAAGAGAAGAGACCAACTAAGTAAAGATCCGGCACATCACATTAAACTTGAACTTGACAATGAGAGACTAGACTAGTGGAAGCACATGTACAAGGAGGAGAGTTCAACTAAGTAAAAATCCGGAACATCACATCAAACATGAACTTTGACAAGGAGAGGCTAGACTACCTTCTTCCACCGAATACAATGTACGGTTATTATATCTGTATTTGAGGCATCTTTCAGTCTAGATTCAGCTATAATGACCGTACGTTGTATTCGGGGGAATAAGGTAGTGGAAGCACATGCACAAAGACAAAAGACTAACTAATTAACGATCCGGAACATGAACTTGACAAGGAGAGGCTAGACTAATGGAAGCACATGCACAAAGAGAAGAGATCAACTAAGTAAAGGTCCGGAATATCACATCAAACATGAACTTGACAATGAGAGACTAGACTAGTGGAAAACACATGCACAAACAGAACAGACTAACTAAGTAAAGATCCGGAACATAGCATGAACTTGACAATGAGAGACTAGACTAGTGGAAAGCACATGCACAAAGAGAAAAGACCAACAAGATCCGACACATCAAATCAAGTATGGATATGGCAATTAGTGGCTAGACTAATGAAAAAGCACATGCACATGAAGTGAAGATCATCCGGAACATCTCATTAAGTATGAACATGACAATGAGTGGCTAGACTAACGAAAAAACACATGCCCATGAAGGGAAGATCATCCGGAACATCCCACCAAGTATGAACATGACAATGAGTGGCTAGACTAATGAAAAGCACATGTACATGAAGGGAAGATCATCCGGAACATCACA